CTTTTTTGGCTCTTGTATTTTTTTATGAACGGGTTCAAAAAATGTTATAATTTTTTATAATCTGCCAAAGAATTATTTCTGCTATTGTTAAAACGTTGGTGAGGTCGGAATTAAAAACTCTTACAAGTTTTAAAAATTTCATTTGAGTACGAATTCAGTTCAGTATAAAAATAATTTTTCACTGTTTAATTTCGTATACTGATTAAAAATTTACCCATGTCTTTACTCAACAATATTTGAAGTCAGCCCATAATTTCTAAAAAACAAAAAAAGGCGCAGTTTTTGATTCTTCTTAAGTTGCAATATGCTTTTATTTGAAGCCCTTTCAGAGGTATTTTGATTTTTTATCCGTTTCTTTTAATATGAAAAACAGCTTTTGTGTTAAAAGCAGACACTACATAAAATTTTACGAATACAAACATATTACTTGTATAGTTAATACTGATTAAAAGATACAGCTTTTATTGAAATTTCGTTTCTTGGTTCATCATTTCGAATTCGAACTCAAAACGAACTCATGGATCATGAGAGGCACGTAGGACTTGAAAACCGAAACGAAATCACTCCCGCAGAGTCTAATAAAAATGTGTATTCCGTAGCACCCAAACACAGTGCCCCCACCGTAATAGGAGTATTCTCTTGGTTAGAAATTTATGATTCTTTTATTTTTTTTTTATTTATTTTTTTTTTATCTCCCTTCTCTTTCGAAAAGATTTTTTTTTGTTTGTTTTAGTTTTTGGAAAAAAGGTATACTGAAATGAAATGGATATTTTGAAGTACCGTAATATGCATGGAAGACTTGAAATGGATATTTAAGTTTGTCTTTTTAATATGTACTAGTGCAATATATCTGAATAAGCTTATGATGTAATGATTGAATTTTCACCCACGAAGATGCAGTTCATATTTTACGTTAAATCAGACACAAAAATGTACTTTCTGTAAGCAAGCGTATCAACCCATTTTTTGGAATTTTTACTAGGAATTGGAAGAAGCCTTTTTTCGGAATTTTTCCTGTAGGAATTGGAAGAAGCCATTTTTCGGAATTTTTACTGTAGGAATTGGAAGAAGCCATTTTTCGGAATTTTTCCTGTAGGAATTGGAAAAAGCCATTTTTCGGAATTTTTCCTGTAGGAATTAAAAGCCATTTTTCGGAATTTTTACTGTAGGAATTGGGAGAAGCCATTTTTCGGAATTTTTATTGTAGGAATTGGAAGAAGCCACAAAATATAAAAAGCGGACCCATTAATTTAGTCGGGAGTGCGGTTTCTAGTTTGAGCTCCACATCATTTACTATATCTCTACTATTTAAGTCTATAAGCTAATCAAAATATTTTTTTTTTCTCGCTATTAAAAGTCATGAATTCTGTGTGTAAAATATTTTTTTTTCTATAAACATTTATAATTTTTTTTTAAACTTAAAAATGGTCAAAGCATTTTTGAACTGGGATATTTCTTGAATTTTTGGCCTTCTGTTGAGAGTTGCAAACATTTTAAAATCATTTCCATAAACAGCAAACCAAATACGTATCAAGGACAATTAATTTGAATTGTTTAAGCATTAGTAGTAACAAAATTAGTTAAAGCATTAGTTAGTTCTAGTATTCATCCAGAGATTCTTTCTAAACTTGTCGTTTAAAAAAATGATAAAAAGAAACGAAAGCAGGTGAGATATTCTGATTTATACTTTGAAATACATATTTTACTTATATCTAATTACGTGTTTTAAACTTATATCTTTTTTTTTTAAAAAAAAAGTTTCTGGTCACTTGTTTCGATTTTAACTCTCAATGAATTGCAATCAGAACAACATACTATAACAGGTATAATTTTGTTACAGACATTTGGATTATGGTGACAATGAATTAAATCGAGCTGTCAACTGACGATATCTCTTCTTAATTTAAAGTAATTGCCTTTCAAAGCTAAATTTTTTTTTCGAAAAATTAATTAAGTTAGTTTTTTATTTAGTTATTTTGTTTCTCATTTTTGAGTCAGTTAAATTGCAGAGTTTATTAAAAGAATTTATTAAAAGTAATGCGATTTTAATTATTTGATTTGAAAAAAATCATTATTATAATCGTTAAAGCATCCAAAAAGCAAAAATCAACCTAAATAATTATGCTTTTTAAAAAATTTTTGAGTGTTGCGAACACACACACACACAAAATATTACTTTTTAAGTAATAAAATAATTCTAAATTTCAAAATGTTAAGCGTGAAATGTATATCTTGTTATATCTTGTATTTTACATATCTCGTATTTTATATACCTCGTTTTGCACTAATCCAATTTTTGGATAAATGTTTACTTTTACTTATCTCTTGAGATTTGAACATTACACTGCAACAAATATCTATCAGAGAGCAATGAGTTCTCTTTTACTGGTAATGAATTCCTTGAAGTACCCATGCAATGTCAAAAACCAATATATAGTATCCATACAAATATTAAAATAATCTATTATTAAGTTTGAAGACAACGAATGCGCTTTCAGGCGGTTCGTGAAAAATATTGACAAGTATAGCTCAATAAAATTTTGTGAGAATTGAATTTTTTTTTTCTTTTGTTATTTTCTGGCACAGTAAAATAATAAAGAGTTTGAAGTAGGAAAGAATAATGCTGTAAATGACAGTATTGCGTTAATTTATTAATGCAATATAAGTCATGATAAAATAGAAGACTATCATTTTAACTGCTTAATTTTGATGTAATGTGGTAGTAAAAGTTTTGATTTTGTTTCTTATTGTTTAAAGTCAAATTTATCTAATAAATTGAGATAAAATTTTAATTATTAGTATAATTTTATCTTTATTCCACAGATAATAAGTATTTTATTGAAGTTAGAATAAATATTTCAATATTTATTCTAACTTCAATATTATTCCACCATAAAATATTATTTAGTGTTAAAAAGTTAAGGATTTGAGGGATTTTAGTGATAAGCCATATTTTTTTTCTTCCTCTAAAAGTAATCTTTTTTCATCAAACTGTTCCTCGTTATTGTTTCGTTATAAGTTACTCGGAATTTCCTCCAGATAACAGCACAGCTATACAAAGAAAAATATTCCCTTTATGGCAATGGAATTTTTTTTTCCTTTCTTTTTTTTCTCAATACCATGGATGCTATTATGAACACTTTGAAAATGCGTCTTATCATTGATTTTTAAACACCAAGCACCTAAATTATCCAAAAAGAAAATTAAATAAATAAAAATTTGGGATTTGTCATGTTTAAGGTAGTCTGCGTGTAAAACGGAACTTTTTGATTGAATACTCGGAAAAATTGCCAGAACATGTCATGACTCGAATCATCCTGTACAATTCATGAGGTTTTTCTCACCCCAATTTTTGTTGCCATGTGTTATTTTATAAGAAACTTAACTGAAAAGATTTTTTCTGAAGCTTTAGAATTTTTTAAATTTTGGCATCATGAGTTTTGAACTTGACATTTGGAATTAGATACTGATGTATCAAAAACTTTTTTTCAGGAATGAATTATTTTATGATAATTGTTTGCAAATTGTGTTGATTTCATAAAGTTTCTCTCCGTTACGGTACAAATAAAGGATTTATTTCAGGTTGATATTAATTTGTCGTTGTGAAAAATATGGATTAATTAAATGTCTACAATATGATTTCTCCTTTTTATATTTTTGGATCAGACCGTTTGTGTTTCTAGTACTGTTTGTGTACCATGTGTGTTAGACTTCTAACTTTTGTTTTACTCTTGAATCTATAAATTATAATTTTCTATACTATAATTTTCACAAATATACGATTTTCAAAAGTGATTTTTGAATAGATGTTGAAAATGTTTTTGGGTACTTTTCGGTTAGCCGAGCGGAAGCAAAAAGTCGTTAAAAAATGTAGACCTCTGACAACTTTTCTATTTTTTTAAGAACATAAATAAATAAATAAAATGCAAAAATATATTTAAAAAAAAATAGTGGAATTTATTTCCGCCGGCTATCCGAAAATTACCTGTTTTTGTTTAAAATATTTATCATTTTTCGCTTAAATATTTTTTCAATGATTTGAATAATGGAATATTTAAAACAACATTGAAAATGAATTATTTTGGATTGTAAAATAAGCATTAACGACTACTTTTTTGTGTCAAGTTTCCAATAATGCAATTAAAAAAAAAAGAAACAGAAAACAAATTTTTAACTTGTAATTTAAACGTTTGTTCACTCACTTTTTAGCTGAAACAGATACCTGACAAATACATTATTACGAATACACCAAACTGACCGTTATTTTATTTCAAGGCCATCAGCAGTGAGCCGGAACGAAAAATTAAAAACATAAAAGAGAATGAAAGAAAAGAAAATTAAAGTCGGTATTATTCATAGGTTTCATTTCACTGAAAACGTCGCCAAATTAGCGTTGTAGAAACTGAACTTGCAACCACATTATGACGTCATGAGATCCACTTCACGAATCACGGAGTAATTCATCTATCTGGCTGCGTCATATGTATGTGTGGATGCGAGAGTTTGTGAGCGTCTGTCTTCAGAGCGATGTTGAGTTAACCTCTTGTTGAGTACTGGAAGATCAGGATGAAAAGGTTATTTATTCATCACTGTCTAGGAATTATAATTACGTAATCTATGCATACTTTAATCACTTGTTTTAATTGAAATTTATCGGTTATTTCAGTAGAAATTGTTTGATAAATTTAGAAAATTCTATTCTCTGTGGAAATAACACGTACTTATTTGATTGGAATTAATTTAATTAATATCACAAGCATTCGACTGCATCTAGTTCATTGGATTATTTTAAAATAAAATTTGTGAGCATAAGTTTATCGATTCTTTTTCGTTATCATACGATTACGGTCATGGATTTTATTAGAATCCTGTATTTTTTAAATGTTTATCCTTGTCTTTTTTGTTAATTTCATTGCTTATTGTAAACAAATTTTGTTTGTATTCGATTATTTTTATCTTTGAAGCGAGTTGTTTTTATTAAAATTAAATTTGTGTTTTAGGTAATTAAATTACGGATCTGAGCAAAATGTCTAGGCGAAACCGGCCTGTCACAAAAGGTAAGCGAAATAGGAAACTTTGCATAATTAAATTGTATTACAATTTAGTTTGTTTACAATACAGTTTTTTTTAAATGTCTAACTTTCTGTGTCATTGTATGAATGTTTTTATTTTATGAGCTATTTTGTAATAAATGAAGTTAATTATCTTAAATAATTGTTTGTTGCTATTTTCTGTCTCCCAAAATATTTACTGCGTTCAATGCCATCAAGTTTTTAATTACTGATATTCTTTTGATTCGAAGCTACAGACTAGTTACCAACAAAGAAATGTGATTCTTTAATTCTTTTTAAAAGGAAATTTCAATTTTTTATTATATTTTTATGACATGTGTATGAATAATAGGTCTTTGTAGTACCGAAACCTTGAAAAAAAGGCTGAAATTAAAATTTCAGTAGGTGTAAAAAGAAAAGTAGCTGATTAGTTTAAAAAAAATAGTGAATAAATATATTTGTGCTTAAGACTGTCTTGTGTGTTACCTAAGTTGTCATGTTATGAAGGATAACTGTTAACTTGATAAAATGCCAAATTTTATTAAATTGGGGAGTGCAGTAATTATTTTACTCACTATTTCTAGCAATATCTTGTTCTGTCTTCTGAAAAGGATTTAAGATTTATCATTAAAGTTCCTTGAATAGGTATTTGTTTACTTAACAAGATGTACATTAAATCATAAGTTATATAATTATCCATTGTGTTATTGAAAATTATAAATGTTTTAGTATTTATTTATTTTTCTACGAGTAGAATAGTGTGATTCAACTTCTTAGTGATTGGTAAAATACAAAATTGTGATCAGTTTACACTAACTTAAAATTCCTGTAGATTTAATTTTTTTTCTAAATCTGACAAGAAAAATCCAAATGAATGAAGAAAATTTTATAATGACCAAAATTTTTGTGCATTTTTTGCACTAAATATTTTTAAACCTTTTTACTGAGTACATTTTAGCCTTCTGTTACATCTTTTTTAAAATTTTTAATAAATATTTTCTTCCATTAATTTTTGTTTTATATTAGATATGTACTGGTTTGCCCATGGTGGCTCAGAATCGATGATGAATAAAAATGTTGTTGAAGAAGAAAATGAATCAAATTCTCTTGATCGTAAAGGCTATGAAGATCAGAAATTGTCATCTAAAGATATCTCCTTAACAGGTTAGTAATAATAGGATGTAATATATACATACATATATTTTAAATAAAGTCAAAAGAATGTATGCTTTTTTTAATAGAACTTTTTAATTGTTTATATGGACCCTATAAAATTTGCAAAGATGCTGAAAACCGTTAAATTTATTAATTATTAATTTTTTTTTTTTTTTTTTTTTTTTTTTTTTTTTTTTTTTGGTCATCTGCAAATTTTAAAAATTCTCTGTATCCTTATAAAATTCCTCTGTAAAACTTTTCTGTATCCTTGTCGCATAATTTTAGTCATATTTCTGCATGATTCATAGGTCCTTATATCTATGGCTTACATGTGTATATTAATAGTTTAATTACCTGTAATTATGCACAGTTAAACCTACTGAAGCAACCACTCGCTGTTCTACAGTAAAATTGTTGTTAATGGAGGTTGTTTGTTTTTAAGGGTTACCTCAATTAACTTCAAATTGTTATCGATGGTACATGATTCTTCACGAATGATTTTAATTTTAGTCAGTGTCGTTTCCTTGGTGCAGAAATGCCACTTGCATTGGCTTCTTGGAAATTGGATCAATGAATAAAATTTAGTGTCAATAAAAATGATCTCTACTATCTATATAATTATGAGTAAAAACAGATTTATCAATTATGAACGATAGAACTGTGATGCTACAATTGGCATTACCTATTTCCTACCTTTTAAAATATATTTAATTACTTAAGCTTATTTTATTAATTGAATTATATTTAAATTAAATCAAAGAGTTAATCTTTCAACGTTTTCACAATTCATTCAACCACAATCTATTTCGGCGTACCGTCGGTCTATAGCATATGAAAGGGCCAATCATTTGACATGTTTTATGAAATACTTGCGAGTCTACATGTGCATCTACTGAGCTGTGTTTGTTGAGATTATTGCACTCTCGTGTGCGACTGCTGCATTTTGCAAGATATTCTCAATTTCAGGCTTCATTTTCCACCCTCTGATATCAAACCAAAAAATCTCTTGATCATTTTATAATTTCTAATATAAACAAAAAAAAAGAGTTCCTTGTCAGAAACTAGTTATTTTATCATGATCATGTACAGTCTTTGAAATTAATTTTGCATTTTGTTAAAGTATATAGTGCTTAAAGATATTTCTTGAGTGCTTTAAAAATATTTAAAAGGTGCAAATTTTTTGTTGAAAGATTAGGCTATGCACCCTGGATTAGCTCACAATATTTAAGTTCCAACTATATTCTAAAAATAGTAAAAAAAAATTTTTATTATTGTAGTGTTTTTTGCAACTTTACTTGAAAGTTAGCCATTAATTTTCAATGCAAGTTATGTTATATAATTGTTTTCAGATGGAAGTAATTCATCTGGTCCCCCATCTCTTGAGCGGGATGACAGATTACTACAACACACCACCGATAAACGAATGGCAGTTGAAGAGCGAAGAAAACTTCTATTTGAAGCTGAACAGGTAAGCAGTTGTGTTCATTTCTTATTTTTAATGTGAGACAAGGTAGATTGGACTAGGCTCATTTATTTTAATGCTGTTTAGTATTTTTTTCCTCATTAATCTGTTACACTACAAATTCTATGAACAAATCAATTGCTTCTATTAAAGTGCCATAAACAAGTAATATTTTAGCACTGCTAAGTAATTTTTTAGATTCTACTACTTTATCATCTAAAATTTGTTTCTTCAAAATTAAAGTAATAAATTGCAATTCAGGGTTAGGTTTTTGCCGTCAAAAACTGGTTTTTGACATGACAGTGGTAAAAACCGTGTTTTTACCGGTAAAAACTGTCAAAAACCTACTGTTTTCTTAAATTTATGGCATATAGCAGACAATATATTATTTTCACATAATTGCCTTTATAAATGAATGTTGTAAATGATTGCTATTGATTTTGCAATTATATATATATACATGTATTCTTATAGAAGGATATACATTCATATAGAAATATTGTAATATACTTATGGAAAATAGTGATACTTACTTTTATCATAATAGCTTGATTTGCAAAGGATTCAAAATTTTGCACTTCTTAATTGTTAGAAATAAACAAACAAACAAAAAAGCTTGGAACTATTAATAAATTCAGGAACTAAAATGAAGAATTTAAAATTTGGCATTTCTTAAATATTAGAAATAAGCTAAACAAAACTTCTAACTACTAACAAACTCTATGTCNACACAATTTCTTTCTATTTTTAAAATAGAAAATTTTAATGTTTAATCTGAATTCTTTGAGTTTTTCTTTATATTCTTAAAAGCTATGTGAGGTGATTGAATGCAATTTAATCTTAATTAAATACAGATTATTTGTATTTAACATTTCTTTATTTAGTTTTTTTTTAAAATTTTTAAAGGATGACTGAGTTGAAGAAAAGCTATTCCATTTTTTTAATCTATTATTATTAATCTATGATGTTTTATTTGATGATAAATAATCATTTTTAAGGTCCTTAATTTCTACAAAAAAAGTCCTTAATTTTTTTGATAAAAGTCCTTAAAAGTGCTTAATTTTTGCTTTGATAAAAGAGTGGGAACCCTGTATAATTTTAACAGTTATAATCTCTTATTTAAATTTATGTGTATATTTGTTTTAGGAGTAGAAAAATATTTTTTAAAAATTCAAGTTACTCAAGTCTGATATGAAGAGAAACAAAGTTATCAAATATTTCATAAAAATTAAAGTAATTATTAACCTTAAAAGTTATCAAATATTTCATAAAAATTATTAAAAAATGTACTTCAAATTCAACTTGTTTACAAATATGCATTTTATTTATAAAAATTATGCTAGTTTTATTAACGTTAAGTTAATAAAATTTTTAAGAAATATATTTTTTTTTTTGTTTTGTTTTTTTTAAACTTTTGTTTAACTGAAACAGAATTTAGAATTGAGATTTGGGTTAAAAAAAAAAAAGCAACACAATATTTTGTACCTTCACACAACACAATATTTTGTATAGAAATTACATATATATGTTGTGTATCTTATTTTAAAAAAATAAATAAATTTGAATCAAACATTACATTTTTAAAGGAATTACAACTAAAAACAAAATTTCTACAGGCATAAGAATTTTATATTGTGCTTGTATGTTTGTTAATATCTATCTTAATGTGAAATGATGCATGAAGATAATATTATTTTCAATGAATCCTGCTCAAGAAATATAAGGCTGTTTATTGCACAAGCTATTGTTTGTTCTTATTTATGTTTATAAATTATTTTTAATAATTATGCCAGGTTTATGCAAAATCAATTAGTTTAAGTGACAAAAAATTTGTTATTATGAAATTCAATAAACAATTGTGTGTAGTAAGAATTTTATCATTTGAAGAAATGCATGTTTTATTAATCTTTAAAGCTGGATTTTTAATTTTAATATTAAAGAATATAATGCAATATTGTATTGATAACATGTATCCTTCAATATTGCTTTTGAGTACAATTTTGTTACGTGGTCCAAGAGGTGAATCAAGCTTATTATGTCTCGATTAATGCTGGTCCCCTCTTCAATGTTTTTTTATTATTTTTTTTTAATTGTTGCTAAATATTATATATTGAGTATTATGAAGAAAAAAATTAAGAATGAGGGAAAGTAAGTTATTTATCATATAAAAATATCAAACTATATAATTTTTTAGCAAAATTAAAAAAAAATAATAAATTTAAAAGTGAACTAATTATAACCTTGGTTTCCTCCTATGTTTTATCTATTTATTATCAACAAATTCAATGATTAAAATTATATTCAAATAATCAATTGAAGACCTAGTTATTTAAGATTAAATATGAAAATGGTTGATTGAAAGGTTTCTCTTTGAACTGGTGTCTTTTGCAGGAAAGAAATGATGCAGTTATGAGAAAGCACATGGAACGAGAGGCGGCCCTGGAAGCCCGCCGTAATGCAAGTCGGAGTACAATTTCTTTTGCATTTGGAAGTTCTATACCGCGTAATATCGATTCTTTACAACCTGTTACTCATAATGTTGAAACAGACTGTATGAGTAGATCCTTTACTGCTAGTTCATCACACAGAGGTATTCATTTCATGTCTTGCTTTAAAAAAAAATTATTTTTTTTACTTCATCAGAGATATGTATGACATTTAATGTATTTCTGATTAATTATGATTACCATACCAAGAAAAAGATAGGGGAAAAAAATCATTTTATAGAAGAGAACGTTGCTTCTTTGTATCATTTTGTTGCAAATTGACTTCTTTCTAAACATTGAAGAAAATGTTGCAAATTTTTTGAAAAGGAATTAGAGTTGACATTTAAAATGTTGCAATTTTAATTTCTACAGGTTGCTTTTAAGAAAAATTTTGAGACACTTTTGCATTTTCATATTCTAATTTGTCTCTTCTTTGATGCAATAAATGTACTTCAGAAGTCATTAAGTTCATTGTGAACATGGAACCACAGGACTGTGTTTAATTTTGTTTAACTGCTAATAATTGAAGACTGCATGAAAAATAAATTCATTACAAAGGACTAAAGCAATTTTCTAAAAATCTCAACCAGTTTTTTTAAAATTATTTATTTTTGTTAGTTTGAATTAACTAAAAATGTGTAATTCTATTAGTCTTTTTGTTATAAGTTACCTGTCGAAACGTTGAAGAATTCTAAAATGTATCTCTTTTTTGCACTAATTTTTTTTGTTATTATTATTCCATCTTCACAACTGAATAAAGAATCTGCTTCAAGATTAAGGTTATTCAAAAATTTTTAAGACTTTCATTTCATCTTGTTTAAATTAAGTGAAGTCATATCTTTTATAAAATAAAAAAAAGAAAAACGGCTACAAAAATTTAGTAGAAATAAACAGCAAGCCAAGTTTAGAAAAATCTTTGTCCTAAAAACATAAGGAAATTAAGCATTTAAATGAAAAAACAAAACAAATTTTCCGAGTCATCCAAAATTTAAGAAAATTACAAAATTACATTTCAAGGAAATTTCAATGTTAACATCAAGTTAGGTATATATTGACTTTACTCATCCATATTTTTCCATGAATTCTTTTAATGTTTCTGTAGGCACTAAGCTTCAGTTGGGTCTTAAAATTCCTTATAGTTAGCTTAGCTTCTAATTCATAAAGCAATTTTTAGGTTTAACAAGTTTTTACTTTTCTATTTTTGACTATCAAATTTTTTTTTTGGTAGACTTACGCTTCTTAAAATGTTCTTGGTTAAAATCTTGGCTTGAACTGAAGCTTGGTTAGGCACTAAGCTTCAGCTGGGTCTTAAAATCCCTTATAGTTAGCTTAGCTTCTAATTCATAAAGCATTTTTTGGGTTTAACATGTTTTTACTTTTCCATTTTTGACTATCAATTTTTTTTTGTAGACTTACGCTTCCTAAAATATTCTTGGTCCCTAATTATTTTTAAAGAAATTTATCATGTAAAGATTTTTTTTTCATATATACATCCCATTGAAAAATCATTTTTGTGTTTTTAAACTTGTGATAAAGACCTGTAATTTCTTATAATTTTCATTTATTTATTTGTTCTTAATTTAACTCCTGTTTCATCTTCTAGTGGTGAGGTAATCATTACAAAGAGAGTATGTTAATTTTCTGTTTTCAGAGATATATTTAAATTATACTTTCGTCTCTTATTTATTGCAATTATTATTTTTCTACATTTAAAAATGTCATTTATTATGCCATGAAATGTCTCATTATGAAAACAAGTAAGTTAAATATATTGATTTTATTAAAAATTTGATACCATGTAATCTTGATACATAAATAAATAACATAAAATGAAAGCATATTATAAAAACTGCACTTTTGCAAACTATTAAGACTTGTGTTATGGTAAAGCTTATTTATGAAAAATTTGTAGTATATATAAATATTTTTTTTTTTATCCTTTAGTGTTTGTTTTCCATTTTATCCATTTTTTTTATACTTAATTATAAGATTATGTAGTTTCTCTAAATCTCTTAGACTTCTATCAGAGAACTCATTTATATATTAACATATTTTATACCAACCTTTCAGCTGAACTTCATAATAATTTCTATGACAGACGATCTGTTTCACCTGTTTACTTAGCTGGGCCTTGTTTGGTTAATGGCATTTGCCATCAACCTGACTCTAGACTCTCAACTTATTCTGAGAAAATATCTAATACTCAGTCAGGCTGCTTAGTGGGTTCTGGTGCTATCATTGGTGAGTAGGGATAGTGTGATTCTTCATGAATCAAAGCATGTGGAGGACCGCTAAGCATGTCTCTTCTTGTAACTAACATTCCTGTCTCTTTCTCTCTATTCTGTAATTCTTTTTCGTCATCTTGTATTGTATTCAGTGATTGTGATTTCATTAATTTTTCTTGAACCACTTGTGCTTAGCTCATTCATGTTTATTTTAATTGGGGGCTTAAAATTCTGGAAGTGGCCTCCTGAATTTTAAGTGATGGCAGGATGAAAAGTATTTGCATTACAGGATGCATAGTGTTTTTAAAAAGTGCTTATTTTTTATTTATGTTTTTTAAAAGTCTTTTAAGGTGCTTTTTTTTTTATTCGGGGTTGGAAAAAGTGTTTAATTTTTAATCTTTTGGCGAGAAATTTTTTTTCTTTGCCGTGTCGATTGTCATTCTAAATTACAAAAAATGCACAATTTTCTCTGCAATATTTGTCAAAAACTAGTTATTTTATCACAGGGTTCCCACGGTCCTTGAGAGTCCTTGAAAGTCCTTGAATTTTTTTGTGCTAAATTTAGGTCCTTGAAAGTGCTTGAAAAACGTCTTAGGTCCTTGAAAAACTTGATAGGTCCTTGAATTTGTCCAATACTGCCGACGGCCCTTTTTATAAAACACCCGCGGATNCCCAATCAGCATCTGCATATAGCATTGTTGCTTCTAGTAAAATAGAAGAGAATAATTTTTAAAATTGGTCTTAGATTAAGGTCCTTGAAAATTTTGTTGAGGTCCTTGAAAAGTCCTGGAAAGTCCTTGAATTTCAATCTCATCATAGAGTGGGAACCCTGTATCATGATAAAGTAAAATTTTTGAAAATGTTCTTCAATTTTATGTTTATAAATTAAGAACTTTTAACGATAAATTTTTATATTTTTTGTTCCTGCACAGTTCCTCATTCTGATTTTTTTTTTGGAAAGTGATTAAAAATATTTTTTGAGTGCTTAAAAGGTGCTCTTTTTTTTGTTGAAAAAAATCTGGCTACACACCCTGCATTAGTTTTGATATCAATAAAAATAGTTGGGTAAAGCTTTTCTTTCTTTCTTTCTTTAAAATTTTTTTTTTAGGTAAGTTTACCAAATTCTAACTTAGAACCAAATTTTTTTAATCAGATTCATGATAATGAGTAAAAACTAAGATTAAAATTAAAATTTATCTAATGAACTATTTGCTATAAATTTTTATTATCAGCCTTTTAAAAATGCACTGTTTTTTTTAGTTTTTATTTCCATTGGAGTAAATTACATAACTATTCAAGCAATTAATTCTTTTAAAAGTAAATTGGGAGGCCAATTTACTAATTTCGATTCAGTAATGTTTGTTTTTCTACCAGTATGGTCTCAAATTTTACTAGAAATATATCTCTTGAAATTGTTGTTTTAAGGAAACAATAAATTTATATTTTATGTAAGCAATGTATCAAACTTATACCATTGTATGGAGTATGATAGTAAAAAACTAACTAAAAATTTTGTCGTAATAACATTATAATGTAAGAGCCACATTTTAGAAGCACATTTTCCTATTTTTTAAAATTCATGCGTTTGAACAAAATGTATCTAACTAATGCTTTTTTAACTTGTTTGTCTCAATGTGAAAGTTGACATTGACTCCATTTTTCGAACAAAATTGAAAATAGTAAAGTTGGCTTAAATACCTTTATATAAGGAATCAGCATGTTTCAAAATATTTTACATTCTTAGTGTTAGTTCCAAACTGTTTTATCCCTTTGTCGTTCAACGAGAAATAAGTTATTAAATGTGAATTTTTTTATCTGAGCTTCATAATGTTTCCTCTATTATTTTTAGCTATTACTATTAAGTGCAACTATTATGAAACAAGATTGTAAGGCTTATTAAACTAGCATTTATGTATCATAAAATAGGAGAATTTAAATCTTTTTATTTTATCATTGAAAAATTCAGTCACATAAGTTGGCCGTAATCATGCCCTTTAAGAAACTCTTTACTATGATGTCTTTTTTTTTATGCATTTATGTAGAACTCTTATGAACAATAAGGCAAAGTACTTTATTTCATATTTATTATAGGTTTTCAATAATTTGATTGAGATTTATTATTTTATGTCATGAAATAAAGCATTACTTTCTTATGCATAGAATAATTATTTAATACTTATTCAATTTATTTTATTTTAGAGACATAAATTGTTTTAGATATAAGTAAAATAACATGAAGGTTAACTTCTTTATTAGATTGACTTAAAACAAAGCAAATGCTTAAATATAAATACTAAATTGATATAGTACTTCAAAAACAATACACTTCTTATAAAATATATCTTTACTAAAAATTCTATCATATTGAATATATCTTTAATTATGAAGAAAAATACCTGCAACAAACTAATTTTTTAGGGTAATTTCACTCAGCTTACAGTTAAATTTTGATGATCTAAAAATAATTAAAGTAGACCTAGGCAATCTAATAATAAAGTAGATCTATATTATGTCATGTTGAGAGTAATTTTAATGTTAAAAGTACTATCTGGTATTTCCTGTATATTGCTATCTGCATTGAGTCTAATCAATGACCTTATTAAGTTCAGTTCACATCATAAAATTGAAATCAAGCATTTGTTAATTATTTTTTAAATTGAAATTTAAAACTTATTTACTATTTTAAATGCCATCCAAATAGTTTTCTAATCATAATCAATGAAAAAATTGTTTTGCACCTGTAAACTTTTAAGTGTTTTTTTTTAATTTTTTTTTTTTAAATAAAATTGCATTATTTATTTACTTAAATTTATTAATTGTTCACCCCAACTAAATTATTTTTGTTCAATTTTATTTTATTAATTATTTTAATTTTAAGGAAATTAAGGTGACTAGCATTACTATTAATTATTGTAGCTCTTTAATAAAACAAAATATGACTTAAACCATTTAAATCAAAAATCAGATATGTTTTTTTTTGAATGAGGTACGCCTTAACATTTTAAAAAGAAAAGTTTAGTATTTTATTTCACTGTAACTTATCTGAGTAGATTTCTATTAATCAGGCTAGCATTTTTTTAGAATCTAATAATGTAGTTACCTGGAAGGATCATAACTCTATCTGTTATAACAATTTCAACTGTTGTTTTTCATGTAATGAAGTGTTTGTAATTAATTTCAGTCGAAGATGTCATGTCCAGAAGTATGACAGCTTCCATTTCTGCGCCTAGAGGACGAAGAAAAAACGACTTGATGCCTACTGTTCCCTACGACCGAGCAGCTGCACCGAGAGTCGCTACCTCTTCTTCCTCCAGAAGAAGATCTGTAAGCATGACTCGTCTGGATCAGTTGGCTCAACCCAGGAAACATTACGTTGAAGCAACCAAAGCTAATAGCACCGCTAGTAGCGGAACTTCGAGTAAGTTTGTTTTTAATTCTTCATTCAATATAAAAGCATTTTGTTGTATAGTTAACACAAATCATGTCATAATTAAAAACTAAATCAATGTTATATTGTCTGCTATAGTTAAACAAAATACTATTGATTGCAAGTAGTTATTAATTCATCTAATCTTGAATACTGTTGTATTTTTGCCATAATTGTTATTGATTCGAAGTAATCAATAGCAGTTTGCCAATTCTTTAGCAGTAATAAATTATTTTTGGCATTTACTAATAGCTTAGAGAAATGGTTTAAAAATACTTAAAACAAATTACAGTTAAATTTTGACTGTCTAATAATAATTAAAGTAGATCTAGACAATCTAATAATAGTTAAAAGTAGTTCTAAATTATGTCATGTCAAGATAAATTTTAATGAAAAAAGTACTATTTTTATTTTCTGTATATTGCTATCAAGTTTGAAAAGAATTAATAACATAAAAACATTTTGTCTCATAGTTAACACGAATCATGTCATAATTAAAAACTAAATGAATGTTATATTGTCTGCCATAGTTGGGCAAAATATTGTTGATTACAAGTAATCATGATTGTTGATTACAGTTCCATTCATGTGTTTATTAATACAGATGTAATCTTAATTTTAAGTAATCATTAGATATACTGACATGCAATTAATGCAAGTAGTTATTAATTCCTCTTTTGGTTTGTCGGATTTTCATAGATTTTAATGTTTGAAACTATGCTGGAATCTTCTAATATTGCGATTCATATGATTTTAACATCTAGTATCGATTTTCGTATTTACCTAATTTAAAAGTTATTAATTGTGAACTGTATTAACATGATTTAAAAATCGTACATCGCAATACATATTCATGCTATTTAAAAATCCAATAATACGATTTGTATTTTAGTGTTTTTAAATCCAATATCACGATTCAGTTTTACGTGATTTTAAAATCCAGTATCGAAATTCTTGTAAGAACTAGGTTTTTTCTTCAATTAGTTACTATCAAGGTAGATAATTTAATTATAAATCTAGTTCAAAAAATTAGATTAAATATAAATAGTATGTATATTGATATCTTGTTATCGAGTTTTTGCACTTAAAAGTTTTCACGGTTTTTCACTTTGTCTCACAATCACCGCTGGTTTGTAATAAAGTTGTGCATGTTGTTATCAATTATATAATATCTAATGTAAATTAAATATTGAACCCTTTTTATTTAGGCTTATTGAAAGATGTATGCTCTCCCAATCGCCCACTTTCTTCTGCATCTGAGCATAGTGGTGGTAGGGTTACTAGTAATGTGACACGGCGTGTTCGATCATCTCCGAGGAAACCAAGGCCTGTTTCCATTGCTGGTACTATACCAGATCAAAAACACACTACTGCTCTTAAAATGCACGAACTGAAAGGAAGTGCTATAAAGAAAACTCCAGCTAAGAAAACAGAAGCTGTTGATTTGAAGAAAAGTAAATAGTATTTTGAAATGATTTTTAAATTTAATGTTTTAGATAAAAGTGTTGATTTAATTATAGACTTATATCTATATCTAAACTAAATTTTTCCACAGAATTGTTAGGATGATACTATTTTATTTTTAAGTTAGGGAATTGCTGTTAGAGTAAAATATAAGAAGAACCTAACTTTAATGAGTACCGAATATAATTGTAATGAACAAAAGTAAAATAGTTTTTAAGAATAAAGCTGTTACTATGCCATAATTTAAAATCTTTTTGTTTGTTCTTATTTGTTTTAGCAAAAAATTTAACTATTCTTTTTTTTAACTTTAATTGTTTCAAATGTTATTCTTAATAATTTTTTTTCATTTTGTAATTTTTACAATGTTGTGAAGTTATTCCTTTTAAATTTAAATTTTAACATTATTTTTGGTTGCAATTCTAGCAATTTGGTAGCTTTCAATGCTTTTTTAAAAATTTCTAGTAAATGTTAATGTTTCTCAATCACGCTACAAAGTGTGAAAAGTATTAATATTTGATTATCAAAAAGAGAAATATCTCAAAATTTATTCTTATGTATTCAGTGAATCAAATCATTAATATTAGGAGCATTTATTTTTGATTTTTGTTCGGTATATGGTAAATATGAATTCATCTGATAAAATAAACAATTTATTAAATTGTTTTTCCCCCATATCATCACACTTATCAGTGTTTTCATTACAGAAATAAAATGGGAGAGAATTTCTCACCCTTTCTCAAAAACAGGGTGAGATTTCAAAAAGTTAAGTGATATTTCTAAAAATTCAAAAAACACGAATAGACTTGAAAAAAAATTATTTCTTTAATTATTATACATTTTTAACATCTTCTAATTGAGTATTTTTGCTGCATCATCATATGGAAAGTGTTCTATATCTACTTTTTCATCGGCTATTATATTTATTTGGCTGAAAAATATCCGTATTTGTTTCGTTTTAACCGTTTCTACCGACATTTGTTTCATTTTAATTTGTCCGCTACGGAATAGAAGATGTCGCCTTAACAAGGTATTTGTCCATCTTACATTCATGCACAAAAAATGTAAACGTCTTTCTTACATGAAGAAACCTTACCTACGGTGAACACGTGGTTGCAGAGAAATGTGTTCTGAAAGGGGTTCTGCTGTTCGCACCGGTTCTGAACAATACTGGTAAATAGGGAAGCTAGATGACAAGGACCGATGTTCAAAATAATGAAAGATCAAGGAAGAAAAGTGAAATGGATTTTATTCAAAATTGCAAAAGACGAAATTTTTTCCAAAATTCACGCATTTTGAAATTGATTAATAGAGTGCGCGAACTTCTCGCGTTTATCATTTTTTATTGCGAGAAAAGATAAAAATATGCGAGATTCTCGCGCTGTAGTGAAAACACTGCTTATATTATTTTGATATTTATTGCTTTTTGTATTAAAAACTGATTAAAAATCAACCTATTAGATTAATGTTATTCATTGAAGTAATGAGCTTTACTACATCTAACAAGAATGATGATATGATTACATTATTATTGATTCTCAATTTGCTAATTATGTTTCAACATTAAGCATTTTGGAGTAACATTTACTTAAATTGATGTTTTATTTTTTACACTTTATCAGTCAAAGTATGTAAGTCAATTTAGTACTCATGTTTATATTGTAAACTGTATCTTCCCTGTTTTTCACTGAATTTTTAATAACTGTTCCAATTCTTGTTTTTGTCTATTTTTATGCTATGGATTACATACGTTTTTTGAAAAAATTAAAAATAATTTAACTATGAGTTTTAAGACAATATTGGATATGTGACAAAATGATCAACTTGATTTTGTACCAAGTTTGTTCTCATTAAGCAATTCATTCTTTGTGATTATGGATTTAAAAAAAAATCATAAGTTTTAAGTCAACTGTAATTTTTTTTGACAACTATTAATATTATTTGAAAAATAGTGAAATGCAAAGAATCTCCTGTATTGCTATTTTTTTTTAAAAAAATTACTGCAATTGAGAAAAATGCATTTGGATGAGTTTTGTTTTCCAATTCTACTTTGTTCTGCACTTCTGGATAAAAAAGTTTTGAAAATATTTTTATTTTCATAAAAATTCAATAAAATATTTCTAAAAATGAGAATTTCATATCTGAAATTATTCTTTTTATTCATAGCTCCATCTACCTTCAAAAGTTCTACTCCAAAGTCTGCAGATAAACCAAAACCAGCACCACGACCCACTACTGCTCCAGTTAAAACTATTGCCCCAAAGCCAGCGGCTCCGAAACCAACACCTCCTAAGACAGTACCTGCCAAGCCAAAGACTCCCTTGAATAAAGAAAAATTAAATTCTTCTGCTAACTCTACAAAACCATTGCATAATAAAACACCATCAGGAAGCAAAAAGAAAAGTGAGGCTCAAGTCTCTACAACTAAAAGTGATGATGTTAAAATGGATAGAAACGAAAAGGTGAGTAGTGCTTATAATAATAAAAGGGGGTGTAACCTTTTTTTAAAAGTTGTTCTATTTAATCATGTTAGTTTTATTTAAAGTATTTTTATAATTAAGCATCGTAGTTAAAAAATAAGTTTAATGATGTTTTGAAAGCTTATAAATTTGCATCTTAATCCTTTTAAAAAAATTTTTTATTATATTAAAAAAAAAACCTTTATGTATCTGTCAATTCTTTTGAATTTTATGAAACTTTATATTCTTATGTGGTGTTTTCTGTGTCTCAAGACACAATCATTTAAAATTTGGAAACTAGATTATTAAATTTTCCTTCTTTGCAATTGCTTGACTTAGCAAGTTATGATAGTATTGTATCCGAGTTTTATTTATTTATAATTTTTTTTTTTACAAATTAGTTGTTGGAAACAAAATGAGTCATTGGATCAAATTATATAATTTTGAAATTATTCAGTTTATAGGATAATAAATATAAATTTTCATGCTGTTAAAGAAACTTACTATATATTTAATCTTATTAAGTTCATATTTCAGGGATGAGATTCTTCCGCGGATTTCCGCTTTTTTTCAGATTTTTCCATTTTTCCCGCTAATTTCCGCTGAAATTTTTTTTGCCCAAGTTAAAATGTTTTATGAGGAATTTAATTTTCCGCGGAGGGAAATTTTTGAAGTTCCTTTTCCTCCCTCTGAAGTTTCTCTAAAAATCATTTCCTTGGGATAAAACTGGTTGACCTTTATACAGGGATGAGATTTTTTTTGTCTCTCGAATTTCAGCCTTTTTATCAAAAACTCCGATTCTCTAAAAGTTTCGTTTTTTTAAATAAATATCCCGTTTTTTTTAAATTCAGTCATTGAAGTAAAATAATTATATTTATTTACGATTTTCAAAGATAAACAGAAAATTCAATCTACGCCCTAGCTGCTAACCCTTCCGCATTTTTACTTATTTTAGCTATTTTCTCCGATTTCACGCACAGAAAATAAGATTTTCCGTATTTTTTATCCGTCGGCTGGATAGCTCGTATTTTCGTAATTCAGATCTCGATTTTTATTCACGCGATTTTAATATCAATCATCGATTTTCGTATTTACCTGATTTAAAAGTTGCACATTGCGATTCTTATTTACGCTATTTAAATATCGTATATTATGATTCTTATTTACGACATTTAAAAATCCAATATCGTGTTTTGTATTTATGCATTTTTAAAATCTCGATTTTATTATCAAATCTCGATTTTCGTATTTACCTGATTTAAAAGTTGAACGTTGCGATTCTTATTCAGGCGATTTAAATATTGTACAGTGCGATTCTTACTTACGAGATTTAAAAAATCAATATCGCGATTTGTATTTACGAGCTTTTAAAGCCCTATGTAGCAATTCGTATTCACGTGAGCTTAAAATCCAATATCATGATTCGTTTTTGTGGTTGTAATATCGCGCGATTTAAAAATTATGCATCGTGATCAAAAAATTAAAAAATCATGATTTGTATTTTCGCATTTTTTAAATTCGATGTAGAGTTTCATATTTACGTGATTTAAAAGTCTCATATCGGGATTTATATTCACATGGTTTAGAAGTTTAAAAATCGCACTTTTTTGTCAAATTTTTGTTTATATATATATATATTTTTTTTCTTATTTTTTTTTCTTTCTTTTCTTTTGTTTTTTGGATTTCCTCTTTTTTACTTTCTGACTACTCTCATCCCTGATATTTATATTACATTTTTACAAACAGTTTTTATTTAGTCAAAGCATCCCTATGCGTGATTGCATTGTGAGATGTTGTGCATTACTGAAAGATTTAATTTCTTGATAATTAAAAGAAATTTTCTTAATTTTTTTTTAAAAAAAAGTAAAAAGTAAAAGAGGTTTCTTCTAGTGGAAAATGCCATGCCAGAAAGTATGTAAATACGTGTAATTACATTTATTTCTTAAGTTTTTCGCATAAATTACATTTCTTTATTTGGTTTTATCTTAATAAGAAAATAAAATTTTTTCATTCTCTTTATAGAGTGAAAGCCTTTATAGAGCAAAACTTAAAAATAAATGTAATAAAAAGTATGTAAATACTTTTTATTACCTTTGTTTTTAAGTTTTGTGTATAAATTACATTTCTTTATTTTGTTTTAAGTTAATAAGAAAACACAATTTTTTTCACTCTCTTTATAGAGTGGAAGCCCCTTGCCCGATTCTGATTCTGGTGTTGAGAGTGATAAAAACAATAAACGCATCATCTCTGAAGAAGAAGCAAAAGCAGCTTTGGCAGAGAAACGCAGATTGGCCAGAGAGCAAGCTGAACGAGAAGCTGAGTTGGAACGACAAAGACAAGAAGAGTTGAGGTATCTATCGAGCAGTTTTATGCATTAAATAGTTAGTCTGTTTCATAAGTTTGGTAGATATTTATACTTAACCCTCTTAATTATTCAGCATCTGAATAAGTTCATATGGAATATTTCGGGCATGTATGAATTTCACTGATTTTCTCTCAATTTTGTTAGTTGAGAATCTAAGTGTTTTGTTATACTCTCTTGATATAGGAATTTTATTTTATAACCGTCGTTGAACAGCCGACCCAATTTTGGGTTTTATGACTTATAAGGTTCAACTTTTTAGCCTTGTAAGTTTGAACCAATCCAGAAGACAAGGAAACTCCTGAATCAGTACTTCCAGAGGTATGATTCGTTATGGGAACATGGAGGACTTTGATGACTCGACAGATTTAACGTGCATCAGTCACCATTTTACTGCACAGAGAGTCTTCGGCAGACAGGGATCGAACCCACAACTTCTTGGACATGGGCTCAGTGCCTTAACAACCAGGCTGTCCCGGCCTTTGGTTTAGGAATTATAAAAATTGTAACTACAGAAATCCAGCACGGTAGCAGAGACTGCCGATTATTTCAGTATTTGCTGATTATTTCAGTATTTGCTGATTATTTCAGTATTTGCTGATTATTTTTCTTTTTATATTTGAAAAGTCTACAAACAAATGGAGAAAATTTCTGCGGCTCCTTTTTTCTGAAGCATTTCGAAACTTGTTTCCTAATAAAATTTAATAACCTGAATTGAGAGAACATCAAAAAATAGAGATTTTTTTTCTTCTGTTGCTTGATTACAGGCTTGACTGTATAGGGATTTATTCTGTTATATTTAATAGTATTATAATTGTATAAAATTCAACTTAAATCTAAAAAAAAAAATATAATTTTTATGCATAAGGACCTTGCATGTATGTTAGATTAAGTTCAATTTTGTACAGTAATAATTAAGGCCCGGATTTTGATGACATTTGCATTTTTTTTGCATTTTTGGACATTTTTTGTCTTTTAGAGCATTTTTTTAGATTTATAGGGCATTTTTCTTTAAATTTTTGGGCGTATTTTGCATTTTAAAGCATTTTTTTAAGTTTTTTGCTAATTTTTCCAATTTTTATTATTTTTTATCAATTTTCATTATTACACTGGCTTCCAAACAATGAAGAAAATCTATAGGATATTAACAGGTGAAGCAAAATCTTTTCAAATTGAAGAAGAATTGTCAGTAAGTGAGACCGTCTTTTTCAAGTACGCACCTATAACATCAGTAGACGTTGAAAGAAGCTTCTGCAGGAATGAAAATTTACTTTCAGACAAGAGACGCTCGTTTACATTTCAAATTATCAAAAAACATTTAATAATCCAATGTAATTCTGATATTTAGTAATATTATGAGATGGAAGTTGTTATATCCATTAAAGTTTCTATACAAAATAAAAATATTTTGGTGTCAATATATTTTCCTTTTTTTGTTATTTTAGGATATAAAACATATTTTTCAAACTTTAATGAACGTAGAAGAAGTATTGCATTGCTTTATATTTTTTAAATGACTCATAATAATTTTAAAGAGCAAAACATTTGTTTAATTCAATATTTTTACTTTATTTAAGGCATTTTTTGCACAATTTTTGCATTTTTAAGGGCATTTTTTGCCCTAATTAAGGGCATTTTTTGCACTTTTTAAGGGCATTAGTTGAGATTTTTTAGGTCATCAAAATCCGGGCTCTAGTAATAATCTTTGTGACTGCATTGAGCTCGCAGAACAATTGGGGTTCATGAAGATAGTTCTGCAGATTCACTCCGTCATATATTCTAGTACCTGAATCATAGCCTACATTTATTTAAAGGCAATAATCTGAATAATAAGATTTTTTCTTCTATTTACTAAAATAATTATTAATTATTTCAGAAGGCAGGAAGAAGAGCGTTTGCGAAAAGAGGAAGAAGAGCAACGCAAAATGGAAGAAGAATCTATGAGACTTCTTGAGGAGCATCGTCGACAGGAAGAGGAGAAATTAAGAAAAGCAATTGAAGACCAGGAACAGAAAAAAGAGGAGGAGAGAGCTAGACAAGAAGAAGAATTGCGTTTGGTGAGAAACCTAACATTTTTCTTTGAAATGGAATAGATATAAAGATATAATTGCTTTAACATATGCCCTGTAAAGACGAAATGTTGAGTCTTGATACAACACTTGAAAAAAACATCAATATTGAAAAATGCTGCAATTTTTTTAATGTTATTGAATTGAGTATTTTTGATACAATAAGCTATTATGTTTAATTCCTCTCATGAAGTTTAGGTAAACATGAGTCTTACAGTTATAAGCTGCCCTAATATTTTTTTTAATCTTAATTCCTCGATTCTCTTCTACTTCTTGTTTTTTTGTCAGACATTAACTGTTATATGTTAAGGAAAGTCAAATCTATAATATGTTATTATTTATTGATCAATCTTCTTATAGGAGTTATCTTTTATCTTAATATTTTTTTATGATATATTTATTGAACTAAGATTCTAAAGTTAATATTTGTCATGTCTTCAATTAAAAGAAATTTTGCAAGTTTCTGTCTGGTCTCAGTAATGTTGGTTTAGTTTGTTGATTTTGATTATACATTTAACATTCAGATTTTTAAATAATTATTCTCCCTTTTTTAAAATTCCTAATATCATTTTATAGTTTTTTAATTGGTAAAAAGGTTTTTATAAAAAAATAGTTAGTATTTTTTTTTTAAAAAAAAATTTGAAAGCTGATATTAACTTTTGTATTTTTTGTATATAAGATAAATGGGAAGCATCTTAAAAATAGCACGTCTCGTCAGCAACCTAATGGATGCATCAAGATTTAGATGCATATAAATGACAATAAAAAGAAGACTATTCAGAATTTACTTTGTAACTGTTGATATAATGGTTATGTTATGTCATTTTTAGATTATATGTTATGATGTATGTCATTAGTTTTTAAATAGAACTGTTTGTAAAATCAGTTTGTTTACTATATTTTTTAGAAAGCAGAACAAGATCGGAAAGCTAAAGAAGAATCTGAAAAGCTTAGACTTGAAATGGAAGAGAAGCTTCGGCGTGAAGAGGAAGAAAGAGCAGAGAGAAAGAAAGTTAGTTTTGAATATTTCTAAAATGTCTCCCAATTTCTGTGCTAAAAGGAAAATAACATGTATTTACATGAATAATATAACATATCCTATTTTTTAACATATTTAAGCAAAGCTGCTAAAAGTTAAAATTTTATCAGCTTTTAAAAGCTAGCTTCTGAAATTTTTGAATTAAACAGTTAACATATAATTACTATTGTTTTTGTAAAAAATCTTGAAAAAAATTGTTATGGATCATTTTAACACGTTTATGCCTCTATAATGTGAACTTAGTTGCCAGTTTTCCCAATCGAATACTATTATCATAGGCAGGGGTCTGTTTAGAAGAAATTTGGGTCCGTTAACGGACCCTTCACAAAATATCTTTTCATAAAAACGGACCCTTCACAAAATGATTTTTCTTTTAATCGGACCCTTCACAAATTTGTTTATCTTCATTATTATTTTGTTAATCGAATAAACCCTTTCCAGGGCAGAAAACAAGAAAGATGGATGTAAACTAATTAAGTTTTGTCTTCGGCAGACGATTCTTCCATTATTAGTCTGAAATTAATATTCTGCGTTCAGCAGTATAGGCTAAATACCAAATAGTATTTGTATTTTGCATCTCTAATTTAGAAGCAGCAATTGTTGTTTATTTTTTAAAATTTAATTTTTTTAATTATAATTTTACAGTGTTGAGCATAATCTTGTATGTCTTTACAATTTAAACACTCCTTGAAAAAATTTTATTTTTGCAATAAACGGACCCTATTTGCACAAATTCATATAAGCGGACCCTGGTTGTAAGAATGTGAGTAATTTTTTCACAATTTCACGAAAAACGGACCTTTCACAAAATGTCTGGACAGACCCCTGATAGGTAATAAGCGTGACTTTTTAATTATCTAGTTTGATAGTAGATATTTTAAGCTTTTTATCAGACTTACTGTAATTCAACTTCAAAAAAGGTTTTAACTCTAAAATAAGTTTTTAAACAGTATACAACTGTAGACAGATGCCCATTTTTGCTTTGTGAATCAGAACTCAAAAGTGGCATTGATTTCTGCCTATTTGATCGCTGCTTATAGTCACATTTTGTATGCATATTTCAGCCCTAATTCTAATATTATAATATTGCATTTTATTGTCTTTTTTTTTAAAAACTTATTTATAGTAAAAAAAATTTCTAGTTGCTGAGTTTTATTAATTTTTGAATTAATTGTTACATTTTTAAAAATATTTTTCCAAATCAATGTTCAGGATAAGAATACAAATCAACAAGTTAATCTGAGAGTAATGCTTTCCTAAATCTTTTCTGGTCATCAACTTGTTAAAAATTTGTCAGATATATAATCTATTAACTTTTTACAATTTATTTACATATGCATTTAGTTCAGATTTGTAGTTTTTGTTTTTTAAGTGATAATTAAATATTTTCTTGTTAGTAAGAAATGCTCCTATTTATTTAGAGGCTTGAAAAAATCATGAGTCGAACAAGAGGCAAATCAAGTGGTACATCTCCTTCTGGCAGTGTAAGTGGAAGCGATCACATGGATTCTGTCGAAAATCAACAAGAAGGATTCTCTAGTGGTGCCAACTCATTAGAAAGCAACGAAGGTGCAAACTCGCCAAGTGAACCAGTTTCATCTGACGATGCTATGGCTAAAATGGAAGTTTCTTCGAGTGGTGGAAATTCTCTGGAGGCCAATCTCACTTATGAGTTCAGCAGTAATGATGTGTCATTAAATAGTAATGATTTGATGCTTCCTGCTAGCGAGGCTGCTTCCCGAGAAAACAGCATGGTTATTGTTTCCAATAAGGAAACTTCACATCACGAATCAGCTGAGAATGAAGAGTCTAGTAGTGCAATAACACCTGTAAATATTTCTGGAGAAGCTGAATCAAATAGTGATCAGCTTACAAGTGAAACCAAGGACAAAGTTGATTCATCTGCATTTGAAGAAGAGAAACTTGGTTCACAAATTGATAGTATGGTCTCTCAACAATCTGAAGAAGCTGAGATTTCAGCAACTAAAGAAATTTTGACGGAAGATATTAAATTTGAGCAAAAGTCGTCAGAGTTTGAGGAAAATAAACAGCCATTTGACGATGAGTTTGTGAAGGAGCAGTTTGTAACATCTGATTTCGTTAAAAATGAAAATATCATGTTGGACACAGAGGCTCTTGAACAGAAAGATGAAATAAACCTCTTAACTGGACATGATGATCTGGTCACGATTCCACAATCTCATGGATATTCAGCTGATATTACTGCCGAGATCGAAGAAAGTAATTTCAATCATGCTTATGGAAATGTTCCAGAAATTACTTCACCAGCTGAGGTCCAAGTAATTCCATCTGACCATCAAATTGAAGTAAACTCAAAAGATCAAGATGACTTTGTGTCACCTGCTACTTTTGAATCTAATCTTAATCAATCATTTGAGGCAAACCAAAATCCATTTTTCGATCCTTCAGTTCAAGGCCAGATTCTTGATTCAGATGATAAGCGTGAAAATCAAGACTTCGTTGAACAACCGCGTGAGATTGGAGAAAATCTCATAATTTCAAGTCAAACAAGCGTATTTTCAGAAGAGAAAGAAATGGCTGGGCATGGCCATGAAATTTTGAGTGGTGATGAACTGTCAACTGCAATGGAACATGCGCAAGAGAATGTTTTCAGTACTTCATCTGGAAATCAAGATTCAACCTTTGATGATGGAGAGGCAGCTCATAGTGAAAACTTACATTCCACATTTTCGCAAAGCTTCGTTGGTGTGGAAGATGCAAGTGAAGCATTTAAAACTGCAGCTGGCATGAATGGGTCTGTAGATAATCCCTTTGATAATGATTTTGGGGGAGCAGGAGATGCAAATAAGGCATTTGAAACTGCAGCTGGCATGAATGGGTCTGTAGATAATCCCTTTGGTGGTGCAGGAGATGCTAGTAAAGCATTCGAGCAAACTGCAGCCGATGTGAATGTATCTGTGGATAACCCTTTTGTTAATAATTTTGGTGGTGCAGGAGATGCAACTGAAGCATTTAAATTTGAGGAAACTGCAGCAGATGTGACTGTTTCTGTAGATAATCCTTTTGTTAGTAATTATATTCCCAATGAGACTGAACAAAATATATTTTCTTCCCAATTAGGTGAGATTGACTCAAAAGCGTCTCCATTACTGGACGGTTTTGAGGATCAAAATGTAGATAAATCCTCCAAACTTCATCTTCAAGATGAATTAGAAAATGTAACGCTTATAAAACAGGAAGGTAGTGAAAAATATGTTGGAATTATCTCATCCATTGACAATGATCATTTCTCCAATAATTTTTCTAAATTAAATGAACACTTAACTAATAATTTAGAATGTGCCTCAACGACAGACAGTGAAGACAGTTCCTTAGATAGTAATTTATCACAAGTGGTAGCACCTGAAGACAGTGAAAAGGACACTGACATTAATAACCACACTAATTCAGACCACCTAACTAGTAGCAATAATACAGACAATCCATTCATGACACAGAACCATCAAAGTAGCATTCCACAATCGGGTGTTGGTCACTATTCAGAATTTGAAGTCTACAGTAATGGTCACAGGTGAGTGGTGGTCTCTGTTGTTTCTTTATTTTACTCAAATAAATGTTTCTATTTTCAATTTTAGGCATGTTAAGAGGAAATATTAGTGGAGTTTATCCTTCAAAAAGTCATTAGTTAATTGCAAAATTTGTTGTTCATAATATATTTCAAGAATAGACAATTTAATTTCTTAGTGATCAAGTTGAAATTACCTGAGCTACAGTATAACTAATTATGTAAGATTAAAATGAGTCTAGATTTAAATTTCAAGTGTAATTTTTTTCCAAGATTGTGTCTTTCTAGCTGAGGTTTTAACCCCTTTAATTTTGTTACCTTTTTAATAACATAAAACTACTTGACTTCACAAAGCCATTTCTAATTTTAATTTATCAAATTTTACAATAAAACTCAAATTGGTATGATTTTTCACTAAATCATTTTCTGATAAGATTGCTTTTTAAATTTATTAATTCCCATAAAGGAACCCACATGTATTTTTTTAAATCACTTAAATTTGAAAAAAAATTGAAATAAAAAAAAAATTATAAATTTATCTTTTATTGAAATTTGCTAGCATATTTTGTGAATTAATTTTTCATAAAAAAAACAAGTGTTTGGTAGACAGTGGATAATTTGTAAAATCAGTTAATTATGTAAATTTTAAAAATTTAATATTTTTTAACATTACTTTTATTTAAAAAGTTATAGTACTTAAATTAATCTGTTTATAATATGCATAAAATGACCATAATTTTATGTCTCTTTCCGACTAAAAGTTTCTCTCTTTATATGTCACATTAAGTCTGTCAAAGGGTTAAAATAGAAGTTAAGTTGAAACATTAAAAGGAATTTTTTAAAATTAAGATGGTTCATCTGTAACAAGTTTAAGTTGTTATAAAATTTATATTGCAACATTTTATGACAAAATATGGTTAGAGAGTTATTTTTAGAAGGTAAAAAAGTAAATATTTTAATTTCAATTTGATGGCATATAATAATTGTGCTCAGGTTTGTGGCAAGCTATTCACCTTCTACTACTGTTTCTATGTGCATGCAAGAATTGACTAGAAAATATTTGTGATAAATCTCTTGAAATTAAGCATCTTATAACATTAAGGTTTACTATTGCAACTAAAAATCAACCTGTGTTTGTACAATTGCAATATGCATGTACAATTTTAAAAAAATGCACAGGTTTCATTTCACAAGTATGGTTTTATGTTTATGAGAGCAGCCTCATAAATATTTTTTCTTGTATTTATCTCTACTTATTGTGACTGAATCTTCAGTAAGAAAGTTATATTGAAATATTTTTTAATGCTTATTAGTATTAATATTAGAACTAATCAAGAACTATAGGAGGTTTGAAAAGTTATATAAGTATTTTGTACTATTCTGATTTATTTGTAAATAAATAAAAATATTTGTAAGCAAAGATGCATGAATCATATTAAACGAATAAATAATCTTATTGAAACAAAATATTTAAAGAGAAATAATTTTTTTAAACTACTGAATTTATAAAATAAGTATTAACACTTTTCCAGCCGATTAGAAAGAGCTCCCCATTTAGCAATAATTAGTTATAGCTGTTAAAAAATGTGCAGTGGCTAGTTTATACTCGAGCACAATTAGCTCAATCTTCAAAGTAATAAAGTATAAGTGTTAAGAATGTTGCAGAATTATATTTAGTAAAGCAAAAGTTAATTAATAATATAACTTTTTTTAATTTTGACTTATACATTACAGTGTTTTCATCTCAGAAAAAAAATGGGTGAGAATTTCTCACCCTTTCTCAGAAACAGGGTGAGATTTCAAAAAGTTAAGTGAGATTTCAAAAATTTAAAAAAAAGAAAGAAAAAAAAACACTACGAGACTTGAAAAAAAAATCGTTTCTTTAATTATAATGCATTTTTAACATCTTCTAATTTTTAAAGCATTGAATATTTTTGCTGCATCATCATATGGAAAATGCTCTACACCTACTTTTTCATCAGNTTTTTATATATATATATATATTTTTTACTTAAGTAAAATTACAAGTGTTAACAGCATTTTTCTTTAATAAGGGGTTAAAAGCTTTAGGGGATATCTCAGTAAATAAAAATCAATTATTAATAATAAATATGTTTTAGTGATGTCAGTGTTGTGCTTCTCTTTTTATTATTATTTTTTTGTTGTTGCTAATCTTTCCTTTTAAGTTAAAAATTGTAGCAAAAATAATTTTATCTAACTTGAAAAATTAAAAAGTTACTATAATTGGTTGTAACAATAGTTATTGTGAGCCCATATATATTCACACTTGATGTTTGTGTAATAATTTAAAATGGAATTTTTATTTTTTAGTACGGAGTCTTCCAAATTGGTAGCAGATTATGGCAACAGCATTCTAAGTGTTGAAAACAACATCTTTGAAAATGTTGGAGCCATAGACAAGATTTCCTCTGATCCCTTTCTCGGTAAAGGCAGCTCTAATCAGATTTCTGGGAATCCCTTCCTCATGCAAGAAGAACAGAAACCTAAAGTTCTAATGACTTCAGGTATTTCTTATTTCATAATTCAAATAATAATCATTATGCTCTTTTTTAAGATATAGGAAACTGAAATAATCATTCATATTCTACTAACAACAAAACCTCATGTAGTGTCTCTTACGAAATTTGATAATTCTTCTGTGTGTTGCAAAACAAGATATAGACATTTCTTGTAAATTGCAAATGGGTTCATTTATCAGTCATATTTGTCTGGTGAAAATTAGAAGTACCTTTTAATTGAGGGTTAAAGTTCATTTGCAAAATTTTTTCTGACTGAGATTTATTAACACTCTACAGACATCCAAAATGTTTCCTTTGATGTTTTATGTTTCCATAGTAAAGATATTTCTTTGAGGGATAATTATGAAAATAATAATTTTATGTAGTTTTAAACTATTTCAAAATTAGAAAAACCACACAGTTTTAATTATTTGTCGAAAACTTATGCAACACATTCGTCTATGTCTTGTAATACACTGGTTTGAAAACTTCAGAGACACTGCCTTAGTGCCCTCCAAATCATTCCTCTTAAAATCAAATTGATATACTAAACCTTTTTAACATTTTAAATATTTTGCATTTTAGTTTCTTTGATAAATTAAGTATTATCATAATTTAAAGAGTCTAAATTATTAATTTCAAAATTTAATTATCAATTTTTTAAGGTATCTTTACAGTAAGTAGGCTTTGCAATTACATCATGTGTGCAGTTTTGCAACTAAGTATTATGAGTGGTCTTATTTCATAAATAAGGCATTGCAGAATATGAAAACCGTTGGTGGACTTACGGAATCCATTATCAAACAAGTGTTTGTATGGCTAATAATTTATAAATTATGCATACCTTCGAGCATTTGAGATATTTTTCTAAATGCTTAAAACCTGAGGTTTTGAACTGAAGAAGAAAATTTTAAAACATAAAATTTCTATAAAGAACTGAAGCACATGATCAATTCGTTGTAACACTCTTATAACGATCGCGGAGGGACTGCAATATTTGCTTGTTTCAACCTTGTGCTCTTGAAAAGAGGATCCTTAAATCAACTAGATAAGTTCATACGTGTTAAATAGTACTATTAAATAGCAATATAGTACTTTATTAAATTTTCATTTCTCTAATTTGTTTGAGCTGTTTTATTATCACTGTTTTTCAAATGAAACTAATGCCCTAAAAAACATCTATGGCATCATAAAGGATATTGTGGATCATGAAGTACCAAAAAGGAATTTTTCCAAGAAGAGATTGTCTAAGCTGAAATGTTGAAATTAAATAGAAAATTTATGAATTTCAAAAATATTGCATGCTAAAGCTGGTGTTAACTCCTTAAAAGCTAGCTATGCTCCAATAGACTTAGCATTGCAGTACCTACCATGTGTATCCGATATATTTATTGAATCCAGGCTCATGTTAAAGCAGGCTCACTATAAAGAACTTTGTACTGTGTATTTGCTTACATTATTTATAATATGCTGGTAGACAAAAATTGTTTTTTTAAATTCCAATTTTTTATAATATTAATACTTTTACAATTGCTACCTCTTGGACGAATATTTTCAGAAACTACGGAATTTTCTTAGTAGTTAAAAGGGTATGCTTTATTTGCAAAAAATAAAATTTTATATTTACAACTAATTACAGTGCGCCAAAAAAAGGACTACCCTGAACAACTTATGATCTAATGTTCCGAAACGCTGTAGGACTCAATCTTCATGGTTTGAAAGGGGCGATCTCAAATATTAGTGCAGGCGATATTTAAAAATACGAAATCAGACACAAAAACGTTCTCTGAATAAACATACTCTTTTCTACGGATTTGGATTTCTAACCTTCAAAATATAGGGGGTGGGAACAATCAGTAAAATATGGTCCCCATAGTATGGTCAAGAGAACAGTCTAAAGTTTGGTCCCCTTAATGTTAATTTTATTTTTTTGTGTATTTCGCTTTGTCTTGAGAGGTTAAGCAAGTTGAAAATTTTTTGTACGCAATTATAAAATTCTTTTATACAAAGATAATTATGGGCAGAAAAATAACTTTTAGTAAATATTTATAATTTATTATCTTATTTAATAATGGTTGAAAATTTTTTGAATTATAACAATTTTTTTGCATCATTTTAAAGAATATGATTTTGCATGGCAAGATATAAAATGTAAGCAAAATCGGTGAAATAGTTCCTGAGAAATTGAATTTCAATTAAGTCAGATATTTGAATTTCAATTTCCCTGAAACTATTTGACCAGTTTTACTCAAGTTTTGTATTTTGCCTTGTAAAATTATATTCTTTAAAATGATACAAAGATTTGTATATCTTACAATTCAACATTTTTTCAACCATCATTATATAAAGTAATAAATATTTACTAAAAGTTATTTTTTTGCATGAAATTATCTTTGGCTAACAAATTTTAGAATTGTGTGCAAAAATGTTTAAATTCACTTAAAAAGTTCTTGAGATGTAGAGAGATAAGAAAAAAGTGAAATTAACATGAAGGGGTCCAAATTTAAGAGTGTTCTCCTGACCTAACTTTAGGTACCATATTTCCCAGATTGGGGCTAACCCCTATATTTTGGGTGTCAGAAATTCGAATCTGTCAAAAGAAGATATGTTTATTCAGTGAAAGTGCATTTTTGTGTCTGATTTTGTAACTTAAAATATCGTCTGCACTTATTAACATATTTGAGGTCACCCTCTCGAGTCATTAAGACTGAGTCTTAGAACGTGAAAATCCGATCATTAGATCAAAAGTTATTCAGGGTGATTAATTTTTTTATTGCCCACTGTACATGTCTCATGTTGCTATATCTACAAATAAAATGCTGTTTTCTATGTATTTTTTCTCACTGAAGTGAATGATATCAAACTATAGTCTTGGTTTTGTTGCATTTGATTCGATGTAAAAGAGAAGCAAAGGAGACAATACCTCATTTATCTAAATAGCAATATTTAAGTCTCTCTTTATTGCCTGAAATAGCCCTTCCATTTGGAGGTTCTAGGTGTCCACTAGCGCATTTCTTATTCTGTAATGTGGAAAGAAAAAAAAATCAATTCACAATAAAATGTTCATTGACTTTAAAATAGTAGTAGTTAGAAAAACTACTATGCCTTACTTCATTAACAATAAATATATTTTACATTTATATACCTTGAATTGTTGAACTTAATCATACTTGAAAAACTAACATATAACTTTCTTTTCATTTTAGATTTCTTGAACTGAAGTCTTCGCTAAGTTGGTTTTGTCAATCCCCTTGTGTATTTAAAAAAAAAAAAAAGCTTTTCCCATATTTTCTAGATTTTGTAGAATAAAGACTTTCGATGTTCTGTTCTTTGAGTGTACATTTTACCAAAGCTTTTCTTTTGCTTCTATTCTTGTTTGTTCATATTATATAGTCTTTTTTATTGAATTTTCTCGGGGCTGTAAAGCCACAATGTGATAAAAATATTTTTATATGTCTGTATAGAAAAAAAAAATATTGTTCCTTTTTTTTTCTCCCAAAAATTGTAGAAAACTCTATTGCATATTATAAAGAAATTAAATTTTTGTATACTATATTAATTTTAATTGGCATTCGGCTTAAACAAGGAATGTTTTTTATAATTGTGTATTTTTTTAAAGTTTGCTCTTCTCAATTTCTGTGTCTTATATAGTATTAATTTAATATGTTTAATAATTTGTTTTTATTTGTGATTTAAAATTTTTTAATAATTTTACTAGTCAATTTAATTATCAAAATTTATCTCAGTCTGTTATTTTTTTTATAGAATGATCAATATGTTTTTTTGAAAATTTTCAGAATTCTTAAACTAAAATGCTTTAACAATTTAATAAAATAGAATTTTTTTTTAACTCATTAGATTTTTTAAGTGTTTTTTCTTTTAAAGTGTTGCTTACTGTGTAAGTTATAACTTAAAAAGCTCAATGTCTGAACATGACATATTGCTTGTTTATGTTACTGTTTCCTATTTATATTTATCTTATATTTCATCTTCAGTATTTGAAATACATACTGGTGCAGCTCATGAAAATCCAAAATTTGCTTTGTGTAGGTTATATTTAAATTTGTATTTTCTCTCTCATAAAGAACATTATTGTGTCAATATTATCACCATCCATGTTATTTTGGCTGGTATGATATGTTCTGTGAATAAAGTAAATAATTTACATTTAATATTTGTTTCATTTTATTCATTATAGTGTAGTTAATAACGCCATAGTTTGTCCCATTCGTAGTCAATTCCTGATGAAAAATAATTTGTCCAGGTTTATAATTTTTTGTACTGATATTCCTGATGTGTAGATTCAGAAGATCCCATTTTCTATAAATATAAATGAGCTTTTTAAAATGATCTGTTTGAAGAATAGAATTTAAAAGATTTTGATCCAACATCTTTTAATTAATAATGCAGTACATTAGTTAGAACTTGTGGACTGGGGACCTTCTACTAATTATATGCATAGTTTAAATATATAGCCTTACCTTGTTTCACACTTTTGGAATTCAGTCATTTTATGAAAAAGAAACTGTAATAACAATTTCACATTATCAAATTTTTATTCAGGTCACTGTGTTTTTGATTATTGAAACCCTATTTTTAAATTATTTGTTTAAGAAAATTGCAAACTACAAAAAAAAATTTTTTTTGATTATTTTTAATGAAACAATACTTTAAAAATTTTTCATTTATTGATCTCAAAGTATTATGTTTTTTATTATAAAGTAGAATAAATTGCAGTTTTTTTTAAAATTTGTTTTTAAATTCTTTTTTTTTTAAAAAAGTGACTGTGTACTATGTTCCAAAATATGTCCTGGATTTCTTTTGTGGAACTAGGCTTTTAACCATTGAAAGATGTGTTATGTTTGAGAGGCACAACTTCTTTAAACACGTAAAATATTTTGTACAGTCCGCAAAACAAAACAAAAACGAATCACCCTGAATAACTTTCGTTCTAATGATCGGATTTTCACGAACTAAGTGTCAATCTTAATGGTTCCTGGAGGTGACCTCAAATATACTGATTAATTAGTGCTAACTATTAATTAAATTACGAAATCTGACACAAAAACTAACTTTCTCTGAATAAACATATATTTTTTTTTACATATTTGGGATCCTGACCCTTGAAATAGACAAAATTTCGAAAAAATTGGGTCGCAATAAAGGTTTATATATTTGGCGAGAGTTTAAAAAAATGCCAAATTACCTCACCATAGAAAGTTAAGCAATTTAAAACAACCATAAAGAAACTGAATGAATGACATAATATTGTGTGTTTCTGTTGCTATAGGCAACCAAGAAGAGAATTTTTGGATCTACTTTCTGGGCATAGAAAATAGTATTCGTTTTGATACTTAGAAAATAAAATTTGAATTTAAAATAAAGAAATGAAAATGAAATTATTTTTGATTTTCCAATATTTCAAAATTTAAACGTTGAACTTATTATCTGACATTTTTTATTTTATTAAAGATGTTATTCGTATAAAAATGCTGTACTAAAACCAAATTTACTTAAGTTATTATAAATTTACGATTTATGAAGAGTTGTAGGGCTAATTGCTTTTACAGCTCAGTTCAAAACTTTCAGGTAAGGAAAAGGAAAAAGAGATCCTGCAAAAAATTTTGGGTATGATTCTGATCTGATGCACAATCAGAAGNTATAGGCAACCAAGAAGAGAATTTTTGGATCTACTTTCTGGGCATAGAAAATAGTATTCGTTTTGATACTTAGAAAATAAAATTTGAATTTAAAATGATGAAATGAAAATGAAATTATTTTTGATTTTCCAATATTTCAAAATTTAAACGTTGAACTTATTATCTGACATTTTTTTAAAGATGTTATTTGTATAAAAATGCTGTACTAAAACCAAATTTACTTAAGCTATTATAAATTTATGAAGAGTTGTAGGGCTAATTGCTTTTACACCTCTGTTCAAAACTTTCAGGTAAGGAAAAGAAAAAAGAGATCCTGCAAAAAATTTTGGGTATGATTCTGATGCGCAATCAGAAGGTTTAATAAAATTCACGGTATTTCTCTTCAATAAAATTGAAATAAATATATATATATATAAAGTTCAAAATGCGGATAAAACAAGGAAAAAAGAAGAAAAATAATAAAAAAATAACAAAAAACAGGGAGAAAAAAGGAAATGTATATATATATATTTTTTAAAAATCCGGAAAATAAAAGATATCTTTTCGTCAGCCCACACGATTATATCCGCAATATTAGAACACTCTTTTTTTTTTTGCGGATATAATCATGCGGGCTGATGAAAAGATTATATCTTTTGTTTTCTGGATTTTTGTGAAAAAAATTTTTGTTCTTTTTTTTCCCTCCCGGTTTTTGTTATTTTTTTATTTTTATTATTTATACTTTTTTCATTGTTCCGTAATTTTTTCCTTGTTTTATCTACATTTTGAACTTATATTATGAGTTCTATTTACTTGCAGCTTATGCGCAATAAATGAAACTTATTGTTTTTCTTAATTTTCTTCGTGTTTTTTGTATTTATATATATATATATATATATAAAATAGTATAAGAGTAAATTTTTATTGTTAAAGGTCATTTCATTCTGACAAATATTTAGGTTCCATGTTTTTTCTTAAATAAGTAGTATTCGCAAATAGCATTCTTTGTTCATTTAAAAAACAAAACAATCTGTTTTATTTTTTCGCTGTGCACACATGCGCATTTACTTTTCATTACTCGAATAAATGAGAAACAATAAAAAAAAAGAAAATTAATAATTTATCTTCATTTTTCGTAAACAATAGTATTCTTAGTAGATAGTCAGCTGTTCTGCATCGAATGATAATATGTGTGATCAGTAGAATATTTTTAATTTCTTAACAAGATTTAATTCTCAGATAGCTGGCAATAATTCTAAGTTTTCAATAAATAAAAACTTAACAATAACTTAAAAAGTAATTTTATTTTAAAGGAAAAGATAAATTAAAGTACTAAAACGATTGATTAGTATATTATTGGAAAATAATATGTATGATAGCATAAGAAATAAGATTTTGCGTTAAAATTTTATTGAAAAGTTAGAAAAATAATTCTGCGAAACAAGTGCAGACAGATAATTTACAAATTTATTTTAAGATTAAGGTGATATATAAAATGTAAAGAAGTTTTAATATCATTGAAAATGCTGACTACGTATTTTTATTAATATTTATAAAATATATATTCAAGAAATTGATAAATATATTATTCCAAATCTATGCATGCGTATGTATATTATTGAAATTGTATCAGTTATTGAAAAACAAAATCAAAAAATAATCACATTAAATAAGCACAATCTGGTGTATAATCATATTCTATTAGAAGCACGTTTTTATAAAACTAGACATTCGTTGAATAAAGTGTTTTTTATTCAAATTGTTTTATTCAAATTTCTTTACTAAATTGCAAATATTATTAAGCGACTAAAAAAGAAACGTATTTTATAGTTTGAAAGAAATAAAAAGATAAGCAAACGACTATTAGCAAAAAAATTGTGAATGAAATTTTACGCTACGCGCGCGAAGTCAAGTGCCTCGCAAGTTTAGCACATTTTAATATTAATCGCCCCATTTAATTACTTCTTTATTGTCGCCAAATTATTTTTTTATAAATAATTCATTTTAATTTTTCTCAGCTTCTAATAAATAAAACAGTTGAAACTTTAGATTTTCCAATTGAAAAATATGTAGTAAATGAAAATATATGGAATAAAAAAATTCATACCTTAAAATTTTTTCATCCTTTATTTAATTAAATAATAATTATTAAAAATTATTTTTTTCATGAAATTATCTTTGGGTAAATGAGTTTTATGAGGGGGTGCAATTTTTTTGAATTGCTTTATTAGCTTTAAAAATATGACTAAAAACGTAAAAAGTGAAATTAACATTAAGGGGTGCGAACTTTGGATTGCTCTCCTGGCCAAACTATGGGGACCATATTTCCCAGATTGCGGCTACCCCCTATGTTTTGAAGGTCAAGAATCCAAATATGTAACAAAAAATGCATGTTTATTAAGAGAAAGTACGTTTCTGGAACTGATTTCGTAACATATTTGGATTCTTAACCTTCAAAATCAGGGCCGGATTTAAGCTTGGTGGGGCCCTAAGCTACTGAAAATGATAGGGCCCTTATAAGTTCAATTCCATTTCTATTCACCTAAAGTAAACTGTCATTATTTCGCAAGCTGATATTATTTAATTGATGCTTATATTGAAAATATTTCTTCATTATTTTTGCTTTCTTTTTAATTATCTTAAGTGCATTTGTTAAATTTTTGTGCAAGAAAAGAAATGTCATTATTTATGTAAATTTTTGGCTTATATTTTTAAGGATTTATTAAAGGGTCTATTAAATATCAGAGAAAATAAATGTCATACGAGTTTAAAGTATCAGCTCTGCTCTTGATGGTGTATAGTGGCTAGGATGTGAAAGAGCAACAGTCCCGGGCATCCAGCCAAAACGAGCATTCAACATATCAATGGAACACACTAANTTATTCAGAGAAAGTACGTTTTTGTGTCTGATTTCGTAACTTAATTAATAGTTAGCACTAATTAATTAGCATATTTGAGGTCACCCCCAGGTACCATTAAGATTGACACTTAGTTCGTGAAAATCCGAACATTAGAACGAAAGATATTCAGGGTGATTGGTTTTTTTTTTTTTGCGGACTGTACATGAATGGATACCATTTTACAAGATAAGGACAATTTTTAAAAAATAACACAGATGACCAATACACTTCTGGTTTGACCTCTAATTTTTGTTAGAAATATTTTTCATGAAAATGGGAATCTAAAATTAACATTTCTAACAGTACACTTAAGAAATTAGTTATAAAAATTTGCTTCCATTTCTTCAATTTTAATTAAGTCATGAAAGTCTTTAAAATAGAGCAATATATTTCTGATTTGTGCTGTATTTATAGAAACTGATTTTGTAAATACACACTGAAACCTTCAATATTTTAAAAAGTTTTCCATGTTGCATTTCAGCTTCTAGAAGACATGCAGATAGATTTTTGGCCAAAACATGATCTAGAAATTTTTTTTTGTTTCATATTGTATTAACATTAAATGTTTAGATTTGTTAAGTCTAAGTATTGTCCTGTTATGCTTTTTATAACTTTAAAAATAATAGATTTTTT